CCCCCCCCCCCGTACTCTGCACATGCTAAAGCCTTGAGCTTCGTCCAAACAGGTCAAAGGCAAGTTGGCTGTTGGTAGCTTCGTCTGACCTGCTGCGTGCTTTCCTGTCTGTCCTTCACAGCCGCTTCCGGGACCCAGCCGGGAGGAAACCCCAGCCCAGGGGGCGCACCGGCATCCAAGTCCTGTTGCATCCAGTAGCTGAGGGCATTGCTGGCAGGTGGCAGAGCCCTCAGGAAGGAAGAGGTCCCGCAGGCCAATGGGAAGCCCCGTGTCTTCCTGGACAGTTAAAGAAGCAGGAATTGAGAGCTGATGGTTGAAGATACAGCGGGCATCTATATCATCAAGTGGTTTTAGACGTTGTTTTTGTTGCAGTGTGTAACCCTAGCTGTCCTAGAACTCGCTCTGCAGACCAGGCTGGCCTTGAACTCATAGAGATCTGCCTGCCTCTGCTTCCCAAGTGCTGGGATTAAAGGCATGCGCCACCATGCCTGGTTTAGAGGTTGTTTTTAATCTTGAAATGTCTACTGAGTTTAGCCCAATATTCTAGACTTCATATACTGACTTACTTTATTTTTTGTTCTTATAATGCTTATAATTCTTGTAAGTCCTTATAATTTAGTGTTTTATTGTAAAAGTTTCTTGCTAATTTTCAAAAGTGGAGAATTATACATCAAATACTCATAAACTTACCCTCAGATTTGAACATCAAACTTTGGTCATATTTGTGCTTTTACATTCATTTTCAATTTCTCCCCCTCTCTCTTCCTTCCTTTCTTTCTTTTTGGATCCCACCATGTGGCCCAGGCTTGCTTTAAAATCTCAGGCCTCCTATCTCTGTGTTCACTACCTCCCATGACTTAGCTGAACTATTTAAAGGTCATTTCCACACATATCACTTCACTCTCCTACAGTCTTTGGAGGAATTAAGCATCTGTAAAGGTCACACACATCTTACCGGGCATGGCAGCACATGCATGTAATCTCAGCACCAAGGAAAGAGACAGGAAGATCAGGCGTTCAAGAGGTCCTGGTTATACGGTAAGACTCTCTCTCAAGGGGAAAATCATGTGTCTTTTTTTTTTTTTTTTTTTTGGTTTTTCGAGACAGGGTTTCTCTGTGTAGCTTTGTACCTGTCCTGGAACTCACACTGTAGTCCAGGCTGGCCTCGAACTCACAGAGATCCACCTGGCTCTGCCTCCCGAGTGCTGGGCTTAAAGGCATGAGCCACCATCGCCTGGCAAAATCACGTCTTTAAAGGAACAGAGCATTTTCTAACACAGCACCGTTGAATGGAGAAGGTGAGCACTTCATCCCCAGCCATGGAGTGTATTCTGATGAGATACAAAGGGAATTGTGGGGGCTTCAGCAGACAGCTTCTTTGGGGATGTCTTAATGCAGGACACTGCATTTCTCAAGAGGACCTAGGCCTGAGGTGGAAAAGCCTGGCCACACTGCCCAACATGGGTCAACCATGCAAGGCCATTCTAGCTCAAGGCCCGTAGGCTCTTGCTGGTCTCACATCACTGCTTATACATAGAGACCAAATTAGAGCCTGTTTCCTGGGAAATCCAGCTGTGTGTAAACCTTGAATAATTGTCCCCGCTATGGTCACAAAACTCTTCAAGAGTCTATTTGTGCTAGGTGTGGTGATGCACAACTTTAATCCCAGCACTCAGGAGGCCGAGGCAGGAGCACTACCATAAGTTCAATACCAGCTTGGCTTACACAGAAAGTTCCAGGCTGGGCTACAGTGTGAGACCTTGTCTCAAATAAAAGCAAAGAATAAGGACAAAAATCATAAAAGAGTTTGGGGGTCAACACAATGACTTAGAGCAAGTAAAAGCTCCTCCCTCTAGGCCTGATGACCTGAGTTCTGTCCTAGGACCTACCTTCACGGGCACACACACTGCATACATAGTGGAAAATGCAAGTACTGTTGTGCTTCAACTTAATCCAGATGTCACATACCGAATTTAGTCATCCCGTTTTTTTTTTTTTTTTTTTTTTTTTTATTAAGATCCACTTCTTGGATGGGGTTTCTGGCACAACTATTAGGGTGTTAGATGCAGACATCCACAGCTAGGCCCCGGGTGGAGCGCTGGGAGTCTAATTAGTGAGAAAGAGGAGGGTTTATATGAGCAAGAATTGTTGAAACCAAGGTTGGATAAAGCACAGGGACAAATAGCCAAATGAATGGAAACACATGAACTATGAACCAAAGACTGAGGGGCCCCCAAGTGGATCAGGCCCTCTGAATAGGTGAGACAGTTGATTGGCTTGATCTGTTTGGGAGGCATCTAGGCAGTGGGACCAGGTCCTGGGCTCGTTGCATGAGTTAGCTGTTTGAAACCTGGGATTTATGCAGGGACGCTTGGCTCAATCTGGGAGGAGGGGACTGGACCTGCCTGGACTGAGTCTATCAGGTCGATCTCAGTCCTCGGGGGAGACCTTGATCTGGAGGAGGTGGGAATGAGGGATGGGCTGGGGGGAAGGGGAGGGGGCAGGAAGGGAGAGAACAAGGGAATCTGTGGCTGTTATGTAGAACTGAATAGTATTGTAAAATAAAATAAAATTAAAAAAAAATGAAATAAAGTAAATGTTTAAAATATATATATATATATAAAGATCCACTTCTTAGTCTTGAATTTTCCACTGATTTCAGTTGGAGACCTTCTGTTCAACTAACGGGCTCTTTTGGCTTAAAAACAAGCCAAACCACCCGGGTGGTGGTGGCACACGCCTTTAAACCCAGCACTCGGGAGGCAGAGAGAGGCAGGTGGATCTCTGTGAGTTCGAGGCCAGCCTGGGCTACAGAGTGAGTTCCAGGAAAGGCACCAAACCTACACAGAGAAACCTTGTCTTGAAAAAACAAAACAAAACCCAAAAAACAAAACAACAACAAACCAGACCAAATCTAAGTATGCCACGCCTGGCAGAGTTGGCATCCACATAACTGAAACTCATGACATCAGCAAAAGGACCCTAAAGTTGTCAATATACCAACACGCACAAAAGGCATTCAAGAATATCTGCCGTACTTGCTCAAATTCCAACTTTATTTCTATTGTTTCTCATCCCCCCCCAACCTCACCCCGCTTTTAAAAGCTCTAACGAAGGCTAAATTTAAGGCTCAGAGTGATGCCTTGCTCTACCCAGAGGCTGTGAGATGAGTTGGGTTAATCACCATCGCCACTGTGTGCAGGCAGTGTGGCTCTTGGAACCTGCAGGAATTCATTTTTCCCCCTTTGCCAGTGTCGTGCTGCGAGGACAGCATCAGTTGCTCCATATTCTGTTAACTGTTTTTTTTTTCCCCTCCTGGGGTGGCACACAGTACCACCCGCCTTCCATAAATGGCTATCTCTTATATACGTCTTCCTCCCAAACTGCGGGTTGGTTCTGCAGAGCTTATATTAAAGCAGCTGCCTCAAGGAGAGGGAAGTGCACAGCTTCCCTCCAACTGTTTATGGACCACAAGCCTACTCAAAATAAATAAAGCAGGAAACTGAAGGCCAGCGTGGGGAGGAGGCTGGGTCACGTTACAGCCCAGGTCCCTGCCTTCTTCCAGAAGATGTCCAAGAGCAGAGAACATTGCCTGTGGCTCACACATCCTGTGACTTCCACTGCAGATCTACCTGTGCCACGTTCTGCCCTTCTGTGCAGGTTGCATTACAGCAGGGATGCGCCTGGACTCCGGTCTTTTAATTCTGAGCTGTTTCCAGCTTTGTTATAAGTGATACGAAGGACACTCACTGTCTTTTCAAGCAAAGGCTTGTCCCTTTGTTTAATCATTGTCAAGAAGAAGAGAGACGATGACGGGACTGGAGAGACGCTGCCCCGGAGCATACAGGGTCAGTTCTGTTGGACTTGGCTTTTGTCACTCTATCTGATGAGGATGGGAGAGCTGCCCTTGGCTGGGACCCCGCATGGTTTTGACTGTCCTCCTATTAGTCACGAGGTTGAGGCAGGAGAACTGTAAGTTTGAGGTCAACTTGAGCTACATAGTTCTGAACTGAACTGTCTAAGACCATGGTACCCACACACGGGACCTTGGATTTAATTCCCAGCACTGGGCAAATAAAAACCAAACCAAACGTTAGCCAGGACTTTTTCTGAGGCAAGATTGGATCTGGATGCTCTCCTTCATTTGGCGAATAGAGTGTGTTTCCCCGCAACACACACACTCACACACACACAAAATGAGTTCACAGGACCAATAAAGAAAGACACCCCTGAGCAGGGCTGTGGGTGGTATTTTTTAATTTTCATAGTGTATTTGTTCGGGTAATTTATAAGCAGATCACTTCACTATTTACAGTACATGAGCATAGATTCTACAGTTTTTTGTGATGTAAACAATAGCTCCCAGCAGGAGCTGAGAAAAGAAACCAGTTCTGAAGTATTTACAGACGTTAAAATAGAACTTTATACCCACAGAATAATAATACATAGAGCAATTTGGTTAAATTATCTACGAAACTATAGAATCTGACAATGTACAAATACAGGAAAACAGTTCCTCATTTAGAAGGTAAGACAGAAAAATCACACCGGAAATAAAACAGGGACAATGACAACCACGATAATTAAGAGCAGAGAAGTCTTCTTCCTCGCCGCTCACGGATAAAGTATTTATATAAATAAGGACACAACCCAACGAAATGGGAAAAAAATATATAAAAATCTTCTACCAATTAAAAAAAATAGCAAAACTAAAAACTCGATTTTCAATCATTAGCGTGTCCTTTAAAAAATTAAAATTTAGCTTCTATTATAAATAATAAAGCAGATGTGTCCCTCTGTATAGGTGAAATTCTTGCACCTTTCTCAAGAAATGCATCAATGTAACACCCACACACACACACACACACACACACACACACCCACAAACACAACCTTACATTCACATACCCCAGGCTACAGTTACCTTGTTGAGCTCCCTAATACATAATGCCCCCTACCGTAGTACCCTGGGTATGACAAAACCTCTCAAGTTTAGCCATTCCCTGGTTTGACCCTGTCACAGAGCTAGGGAAAGCCCTGGCTTCCTATTGCTCAAGATTCTCTAGACTGCATGGTCACACTAAGAGAAAGGGTTTTGAGTCCAAAAATCTGGAACTGCTGGGAGGGAGCACAGGAACCACCTTGCCCAGTCCATTAAGGCTAGCTACCGACATCATCTCTTGAAACCTAGGGCTTGGGAGCTGGGGAGTCTTGCTTTCAACCTCAACGGCTGCTTCTGATGGAAGCATGTGCCCAGGCCAGTGCTAACAGGACTCAGGAGACAAGGAGGCGGGTGTGAATCTCTGGAATCGACTGCACTGTGGCCTCCCGGATGGTCATCGTCCCCAGCAGCCACCTGGAAACCCAGGTGCTCCACTGCCCTGTCCCATGTACTCCCAGACCATGCGTCCCTTGAGATTTCCAACCTGTTTCAATTGGAATCAGAACACCCCTTCAGAAACCAAGGTGGGAATAGTTTATGACTTATTATTCCTAACATAAAAACATCTGACAAGATTTTAAAATACAAAACACAAAAAATTAAAACAAAAACAAGAACAACAACAACAAAAAACCTGTTTGGCTATTCAGTGGACCATATCAAAGGTCATGGCCAGGGCCCCTTCTCCCCCAATCCTCATACCCAACTTCTTTACTTGTCCCAAAGGTCCCAGGTAAGCCACCTAGCAGAGGTTCACTTAACAAGGTTGACAGCTTGGCTGCCAGTATTGCAGTTACAGTAAACCCCTCTGGACACCTGGATACAGGGTTCAACCCCATCTCCTCTACCACAGGATTAACTAGTGACTTCCCGGACTGTATAGGCATCTAGGTAGTTGCTAATGTTCCGAGTTGGTACTGAACACATAAGATAACTCTCTTGTGTCATTGTATTTCACTGCCAAGCTAATGTTGGCCGGCATGGTGACTGACCAAAGGAACTTAATTTTGCCTTCCATCATGGTGGCCAGTGGACACCAGTCTTAAGACTAGACTGGTGTCCACACATTGATAAGGCAAAGTGCTGGCTAACCCCCTCCACAAGGATACTACCCAAGGCCAGCAAGAGGGAGCAAGGAGGCTTGCTAAGGCTTCCTTGGAGAATCCATTGACAAAAAATAATATGGCACGGAGGGGTTGGAGCCACATGAACACCTTTTGGAGGAGCTGCTGTACAGTAGAGCCGACCATCTACAAAACCATATGCTGCAAGCCCCTCAATTTGGGTATCTGGATGTCCATACTCCTTCCAAAGTGCAAGGCATTCTGATGAAATGGCTTCGTGAAAAAAATCTGTCTCCCCCAAATCCCCAAAGGCTTGGTCACTGCTGCTATACCATTAAAGATTCGAAAAAACAAAAGCTGCCCTAAACATATGCAGTGTGATCCATGCCTCCTGTTGCCCCATGTGTTTTTACAATCATCTGAAAGCAATGTGCGAAAACTGTCTAAGTCGAGCTGTTTGGGGAAAACAAGTGTATTGCTAGTATTGTCTGCAAGCAAGCAAGAGACGGCCAAGTGGTCACAACATTCAGATTCAAAGCTGTTCGGTGGGGACAATGACAAGGCTAATTAACGCAAGACTGGAAGTTGTCGGCCAGCCCAACCGAGGGGTTAATTCCTTACCATCCCCACGAGAAACTATGGCTTGAGTCTGTCCTGGCAAGCTAGCCTCTTCATGTAAGGCACCTCAGCCAGGGCTATGTGGATCTCATCCTGTCGGAGGCTGACAACCTTGCCGGAAGTGCCCCTCCTCCCCCAACACACCCCCTGAGCTAGAAAGAGTGGAGCTCTGGGCTCCCCTGGCTCCAGGATGAGAATGCTGTTAACATGGGGCAGCCTCATTTGCTAGCTCAGGGAACAGGGGCCTCAGGTCAGACAGGAAGTAAGAAACTTAGAGGGAAACGACGCTCCACGGAGCATTACGATTGGCTAGGCTGTTTTTTAGTCTTTACAAAAGTGGGTACCAAGATGTAAACCCGTATCATTCTGTTTCGTGGGCTTCTTTCTAGTAGAGAGGACAGCCAAGGACTGGCTGGCTAGCTGCAGGCTCTCCTGGCTGCTGCCTTGGAAGACGCCCGTATCCTTTCTCACACTAGCCCCCTTCCCTACCCCCTCACCCAGCCTTTACGACAGCACCTCACATAGATAAAGGGTACAAATATTGGCCAGAGGAGAATGTGGAGCAAGGCTGAAGTGTATAGGTTTCTCAAAGTGCTTTCATCAACTAGTGCAACGTGTCTGACTAGCTACTTCCGGTTTGTTCCGGTGTTCCGCAGCTAGCATCAGGGGCGCCCCGCCCACGCTCCCATCCGTTCTAGGCCAAGGCCATCAAAGTTTTTAATCCCAGGCTCTCCCTGCACTTACCCTGTATCCCCTGACTCTTCAAACAGCAGCCCTGGAGCTCATCTATGTGCAAAACCCTCAGGGACTTGGAGAGTAGCGTCAACATATTGCACATAAGTACTAGTTAGCTTCCTTCTGCCCCAGTGGGAAGGGTGAAGGCATCCCTTTTCTTTGGCTAATGAAACCAACAGGTTCACTCTATTGACTATTACACACCCAACCCCTTTCCACTGTCACGCGTGACACTGGGATATGGCTTTCTCAAGCTGATCTCGACCGCTGAAGGTCAAAGGTTTAGAGAAATACTTTTGACCTCAGTGAACGACATCACACACCCTCCAAGGGTGACTTGGGTTCCGAGAGAAGTGCCCAGCTTCTGCGGCAGCAGGGTCAGCTGAGAGGTGAGCTGAAAACTCCAGGACTGGGGGAGACCCCGAATAGAGCTGGCCATGCAGAAAAGAGCTGCCTGCACTTTCTCCCCATTTATTACCTGCACAGTGGCCACGGCAGGCATATCACATCTTCCCCCCAACACTGATTGACCTGTAAGGCTTGAGGTCACAAAAGACTTCTTATTGTACGTCTTCCCACATTAAGACTTGAGGGCCAAGTCTCTGTGGCTGGCTCAGAGCACACCTCCCAACCCTGGAGTCTTGCTGTCCACCAGAGGATACCAGATCAAGAGATATAAACACAGGCATAGGATGGGCACTTCCTGACTCAAAGCATTTTTCTAGTGGGAGCCACAATGTTTATGGGGGGGGGATGGGGAGTAGGGACCTTAGCTGCATTCCATCCACTCATATCCTTTACCGATTTGATGCATTTGCCTTCAGTAACCAGAGTCCCCGCCCCACCCCCGAGAGAGAGAGGACTCTGATTCAGTCTTGTAGTGACTGAGGAAGGAGATGGAAGAATTCCACTTAGTGGTTGGATTGGACATTTCTAGAAAAGATACCAGCCCAGCACAGAGATGACGCGGAGCCTGCCCTGCCTGGGCGGCGGCCAACACAGTCTACAGGAAGCTGTATGGCAATCACAGGTAAACAACATTGAGACACATCAGGACAGCTACAATGAGATGGTTACCAATAGCAGCTGCTCCCTCTGGGTTCCTCCTTGATTCAATGGGAAAGAGACCAAGACGGACTCGTGGTCTCGGAGGGGCCTGACAGTCTCCTTGGTAAATGGTATGCAGCACCGAGTGAATCTTCCAGAGAGAGATAATCTACAGGACTGGTCATCTGCCAAGCTGGTAGCCTGTTTGTTTGTTTTTGTTTTTTTTAATGAGAGGGTAAGTGGAGAATACTAGAAACTCTTGGTGGACATGAGCTCTCAGCACGGACCTCTGGAATCTCAGGCATCAAAGCCAGGCTCAAGTCTGCTTTCCTCAAGAGCCAACATCTCAGTGACTTGGAGCGAACTGACTGAGCAGCTCCAATGTGAACCTGGCTGGGGAGAGAGAGAGACTTGCTGTTTGCTAAGAATTTGTTTTTTTACCCCAGCAATCACCCATCTGGCTCAGTGTAATGGCAGAAGCAAGCAGGAAGAGCCCAGGAAGAAGGGACCCAAAAAGCCACAAAAGAAGTTCTTGGTGGGGTCAGAATTCAAATGGCTCTCCAGATTAAATCTAGTCCCTTTCCCATCAGCTTCTTCAACCAACACTCACTTTCCCCTGTGATTAGAGCCCAAGCTTTAGTGGATGCAACTGAAGAACTTTAATTTGGTTTTGTTCTATCCCCATTTCCCATGTGCCTACCATGTGCTAGGCAATGACCAACTATGAAGGAATTCAGAATGACTGGGTCTGTGCTGTGAAAAGTCCCGTTTTGGATCTATCCTTAGAAGCCACACCTTCTCCAGTTATATTCCTGTTTGCTATTCTACCCTTCCCCTCTCTATACAGTATTGGGAAGTCTTCTGCCAAGTAATGGCTTCCAGGGCATTTTTTCCCCTCCAGGGATCAGGTCATGACAGGGATGGGTCAGCATAAAAACCAGCCAGCATATGGCTCTACAATGGTAGTCTTCCAAAGACTACCACTAGATCAGGACGCCAAATAAATTAAACACCAACCAATTTGTAGTGCCTGCCCAGAGTACTGTGTTGAGGATTCTAATAGTACAACCGGGCTCAGAAAAAAAAAAAAATTAGTGTTATGCTCAATCACGTATGTCTGCATTAACCAAGGATGCGGGAGTCACGACTGTGACTAGACACTGAGCAGAAGCTAAGACGTTGCTCTCTAACTGTGCCCCTCAGTCTATCTCACAGAAAGGGAAACTGGGGTGTCGGGAGGCCAATGGATCTGACACACAGATCCTCTGTTTCCCTATTTCTGCTAAAGCCAGTCTCTTCCAGCCTCCTCTGTGGGTGGAGAGTCTTCCAAACACCAAGCCTAAGATCATGGGTTCACTTTCTTTACTGAGGTACTTGAAAATCTTAAAAAGAACAAAATTGACCGCCAATTCTCAAAGGAATAAGCCTGGTACTAGCAGCAGATTAATTTAGCTTGGTTAGTTTCATGAGTCAGTTACTCCAAACTTTCTTATTTGGCAGAACATTGCGGGGGAAGGAAAAGTGAAAGAAAGAAAATGTCACGAGACCAAGGAGGAACTGATTTATATGAAGAATTAAAGTGGACACTGCCTGGCTGGTTCTCCCTCATGAAGGGCCCCTGGGAACCCAGTGAATGTCACACTGGATATGGCTTTGACAGTAGTCAAGAACGGTTTGAAGAGGAGCCCACTGTGAATGTTCCTTGGGAGTGTCTTGTCCACCCCCGACCTGTCCACCTCTACCTGTCCACCCCCTACCCTGCACCTTTACAGAGAAGGAACAGCAAGGACAGCAGCAGAATACAGGAGGGGCTACCAGTTGCCCTCCCTGCCCGAAATGACTGCTCCTAGAGGAAGCCTGTGCACCCTTGAGGGGCATCCACAGGCAGGGTAAGTCACAGGACACTGAGGATCAGAGCTGAGGGACGCCTGAGCCTGTGCTGAATGAAGCTGGAATTTGCCTTAATGCTGGTGAGTCCACTGTTGACCTAATTCTCAACTGAGCTACGAGGCTTCTAGCCTATTGCTCAACTCCGCTAACTCCACTCTGCCAGCCTCTGACTTTAGCATCTTTATGCTATCTACCACAGCAGGCTGGGGCCTGGAGTCAGACGGCATGGTGTGGATGCTGCTCGGCACGCTCCCTGGCCATGGGACTTTGGGCAAGACACTTCACCGTCACAGGGCACTGTCCTCTTTCCCCGTGGAATGGGTCTAACGCAGCTCGCTACACCTTTCTTCCAGGCACTCACGGCTCTGAGCACTAGAGACAGGCACTCTCCAAGTGTGAGTCAGACAGGGGAAAGGGATTCTCTTTACAACGTGAGTGGAACACACTCCAAATAAAAGACACCAGGGCTTGGTAGAGGATACCTGGATAATCTCTCTCCACTCTTCCTACTTGTGACTGCAGCCAATCTTTCCTGGGGACCGAGTGGCCACCCAGCACTTCCAGGACTACATGCCCAGGGGAGCAGCGCAGCTTAGTAGCAAACACCTCATGACAGTGCATAGTTCAACAATCAAGGAAGCAATACGATAATCCCAGGCACAGGATAGCTGAGCCATAAATACATTTGTTTTAAGGATATACTTTTTTTTTTTCGTCAATTAAAAATGAGTTGCTAATCCTGATTCTATTCACAAGTAACAATTTCATCATCACACGCTACAGACAGAAGATGTTATGGGGAACATAGCTCGAGTCTACAGAAGGAAGTCAGGTGGGTGGAGGGGGGGAAGGGAAGGGGAGGGGCAGAGGGTGACTGACAGCACTCTGAGGTGCGCCCAGGACGATCCGCTGGAAGCGAGGACACTAACGTGGCAGTGGAACACCATGGAAACTCACGGACAGAAGCAGCTTTGTTCAATGTAAACATTGATTTGTTTTTCAAAGGGAACGACAGCAGATTCAAGTCTCTCTCTCTCTCACGCTCGCTCACTGGCTCGCTCTCCTTCTCATAGACTTATTTCCTTGAAAACGTAAACATATTGGAAGGGCCTTGTCTGAGGTATTGAGGTATTCCTCGAAGGTTAAGGCTGATATCAATGCAGGCTCTGCTGGGCCTCTCTCAGTAAGCTGTCAAAATCCATGGCTTCATACTTGCTCTTCCCAGATGAGGGCAGGGCCTCTTCTGACGCGGGATCTGTGGGGTCAGGGAGAGGTAAGGCGGTGAGAAACTCAGCCCCAACCCGCAAATCTGCCATTGAGCGTGGGCCTCTCGGAGCTGGGATGGCCAGGGTGTCACTACCGCAGTATCAACTGCCATCCTGCTGAGATGACCTCTCTTCGCGTTGGCAAGATCTCATAGCTTCAGCGGCCCTGTTGTAGAGCGATGGCCACTACAACTTGTTCCCAGCCAACATCCTAGAAACGGACTTTGGTCGACACCCTCCCACCAACTCGTGACACGATGAGACACCGTTACTAGCCAGTCACAGAAGAATGCTAATGCACCGATCTCACAGGGATGGGGAAACGGAGTCTCAGAATGGACGGCGGCCAGGTGGAGTGCCGCCTGACCTGGGACCCACCTAGATGCCCTGATGGATGCTCAGTGCTGTATCGTGAAGGCTACCACGGGCTCTCCTCTACAGACAATTCTTTTCCAGGTCATACTTCTTTGGACCTCACCAACTTGTACACAAATGGCAAGGCCGTGATGACGGCGACACCGTCACCTATTAACGGGGAAGCTGCTGCCTGCTCAAGGGTCACCATGGAAGGAACGGAAAGAGGCAGGACCGCCATGGTGCCGCTAAGAGGCTGAGCACGCAGACTGCACCTTCCTGTGAGAACAGCAAGGTGACTGGTTAGAGTCACCCACAGGGTGAACACAAGCCAGATGGCGGCCACAGACAAAGCTGCTGTGGAGTCACAACGGGCAGGAGCTTGACGTAGGGCCTTCAGTCTAGGTGTTATTAAAGGAAGTCACTGTGCCTCGTGTGCTGGGACTCACGAGAATAAACACAGTTAGGATTTGCTCTCTTACCATAGTCAGTGTATCTGGGCCAGCGGAAGTGCCGGAGCCCTCCATAGCTCAGGTGGAAGGAGGGCTCATTACGCTTCCTCAGGGTTGCGCCGTTCCTCAGGGACAGGGCAGCGTGCTCTGAACACCGGAAGGTGATGAAGCCGTGCTTCTCGCCTCTGGAAGGAGAGGACAGGGTAAGGGAGGATGTTTCTAGGCCGGTCTGGTGGATGTTATAAGAGCATGCATCGGAGGACGAGCAGAAAACCATGCCACATGCCCCCTTCTCATCGATGAGGGATAATGACATTGGATAGGCCAACCTCTGCAGCGTGAATGGCAACAGGAGCAGCTGAATGATGTCTGTCAGTGGCCGGACACCATGCATTGTATCATATTCAGATGGCTGCGTGAGGGGGCACTGTCATGTCCACCTCCCCCAACCCCAACAGGAAAAACAGGCTCTGTGGAGTTCAGGGTTCTACCCGATGGCATGTGGCTCAGCAGGGACTCTGACGAGCCCTCCTGACCACGAAGCTAATGCTCCTGATGCTTCCCTATCTCCCTGACCATTCCCCTGCTTCTGCTATGTCTCCTCCCCATCCATCCCACTCTGCCATCCCCTAGACCAGCGGTTCTCAACCTTCCTAATACTGTGGCCCTTTAATACAGTTCCTCATGTGGTGGTGGTCCACAACCACGAAATTATTTTCATTGCTATTCCATAACTGTAATTGGGATACTGTTATGAATTGTAATGTAAATATCTGCTGTGCGGGATATCCGATATGCAACCCCTGTAAAAAGGTCGCTGGCCCCCAAAAGGATAGGGACCCGCAGGATGAGAGCCATTACTCTAGCCTCTTTAAAAACAGCTTCACCCTCCATTTCCTTGACTGCCAACTTGTCCTTCCCTTTACCTGATACTGCTGATGTTTCAGACCCCTCTTAACTGGCACGGATGACATTGTTAGTTTGCCTGCATAGCATCCACTCCCTACCTCTTCAGAGAGCATCAAGTCAAATGATAGTACTTCCCTGAACATGGTGATTTATTCAAGGATGAACCTAACACCCAAAGCTAAACCCCACAGGCCTAACCCAGATGTCTACTGGAACAGTGAGAGTGACTACTTCTCCCCAGGGATCTCTTAGCTGCTAAGATGTAAGCTTGGAGCTCTAGAAGCAACCAAAAGTCAAGCCTACCTAGGGAGGAGTCAAGGCTAGGGAGACCTCCAGCCAGCAGTGCTCTGGCAGTTCAGCTCTACCAATAAGCAAAGAGCCCTCTGACACCCAGCCTCCCCAAGCTCCTACGACTCAGGATGGACCAGCAGGGGAGAGTCCTAACAAGCATGTATAGGAATCATGAGTACTGATGCTTGTCTCAATCAGGGCCAAACCTGAACCCTTCTGCGTCTATGAATGTCTGAAAATAACTATCTGTCCAGACTCCCCTTAAGGAGCCTATACACCTTAACAATCCTAACAAACTGAGCCTCTTCTTTGGAGATTGCTTTGTTTTTCCATGTTATGTTGGCACGAAATCATGAAGACTACAGAAAACTTTGCAAACTTCTATTTGTGTTGTGACTCAAAAAAAAAAAACTGGTAAAAATACATAACATAAAAGTGACCATTTTTCACTGTATAGTTGAGTAGTGTTAAGTAGATAGACATTGTTGTACAACAAGTCTCTAGAAAAATGTTCAGTTGTTTGCTTTGTTTTTCTGAGATAGACCTTACTAGGTAGCCCAGGCTAGGCTTGAACTTGCTCTGTAACATGAACTGTCCTCAAATTCTCAGCCCTCACGCTCCTGGCTTTCAAATGCTGGGATTGCAGGTGTGTCCTGCCACACCTGGTGTGATCTACAGAAAACATCCCATCTCCTAAACAGTAAACCTACATCCATTAACTAGCATCTCCATTTTATCCCTGGGCCTCCAGCAGCAGTCATTTCACTTTCTGTTTCTATTAGGTACATGGTATAAGTGTAAACATAACAGCATTGGCCTTCTTGTGACTAACCCATTCCATTAGCATACTGTCTTTAAAGGATATCCATATATATTCATCTATGTGAAGTGTGTTTTGCTTCTTTCTTAGGACTGCATAATACTCCATTATACATACACATTTGTATATACTTACACATATACATATATATTTGGATTATTCTCACCTCTCTGCTGTTGTGACCTATGTCTTTGTAATCCTGTTTGCAGTTCTTTTAAATATTTTACTATATACCCGTAAGTAGAATTTCTAGATCACATAATAGTTCTACAATTATTTTAAGAAACTGCTATAATGTTTTCCAATATTAGTGATGTCACTTTACAGTTCACTAATACCTTACTTGGTGTGGTGGTTTGGCCCCCAGAGACTCATGTGTTTGAATGCTGGTCCACAGAGTGGCACTATTAGGAAGTGTGGCCTTGTTGGAGGAAGTGTGTCACTGTGGAGGTGGGCTTTTAGGTCTCATAAACTCAAGTCTGGCCAGTGTAACACAGCTTTTAACTTCTACTGCCTGTGGATCAATATGCAGGACTCTCAGCTCCTTCTCCAGCACCATGTCTGTCTGCACACCGCCATGTCCTGCCATGAAACCTCTGAAACTGTAAGCCAGCCCCAATTAAATGTCTTCCTTTACAAGAGTTGCCATGGTCATGGTGTCTCTTCACAGCAACAGAAACTCTAACTAAGGTAAAAGTTGGTACCAGGGAATAGGGTATTGCTGTGATAGGCCTGACTATGTTTTTGGAACTTTGGGTTATGAAAGCAGTGGAACACTTTAAGTGTTGCTTAATGGGCTATTCCAGTTAGGAGCATGGAAGACAGTGGTGATAAGGGTGATTTGAACCACAGGGGCCTGGCTCAAAGGAGAAGAATTTAAGTGTGTTGCCTAGATCATTCTTGTGATATTTTGGTAAAGAATGTGGCTGCTTTATCTGAAGAGTCTGCTTGAGGCTAAAGTGAAGAGTTTTGGATTAATTGCATTGGCAAAGGACATCTCAAAACAGCCTAGTATAGACTCTGTTGTGTGGTTACTAGTGTTGGCTCTTATGAAGATTTATAATGAAAAGGAGCAAGCTGAGAAAGGAAAAATACAAAATGTACAATTTGAGGAAGAAAGAGGTACCAGGAAGTGGAATGGAGCCAAGTCCTGTGTTCAAGGAGATAAAGAGAGTAAGAAATGGAATACAGGGAGTGGTGACCTCAGGGCAACACCCCATTCAGCTAAGCTTCCAACTTGTGAAAAGGAATTAAAGAACAGCTTAGGTCCAGGTGCGATGCTTCATGCCTTCAAGCCCAATATTCAGAAAGCAGAGGCTGGCAGATCTCTGAGTTTGAGACCAGCCTGGTCTATGGATCAAGTTCCAGAACAGCCAAGCTTAGGCAGTGAAGGGAACCATCAAAAACAGAAGGCTGGTGAAGATGTAATCGAACAAGAGGGCCACATTCCAGCCACAGCAAGCAGCAGAACTTGGCAGCTTCAGCCTCGTGGTTCTGCCTTTAGAGCCAAGGGTAGAAGAAAGGGGTTATGAAATTTGCCTCCATGACTAAGGAAACCCCAAGGCTAGGTGCGTCGCGGGGGTGTCCCTGCGTGTAGTCCATTGTGTGAAGCTGCAAAGGTGAAGCCTGGATTGCCTTGGAGACCCCCAGATGTTGGAGATGCCAGACCCATGGGATGCCTGCCAAGAAGAGCTGCTAACAGGGAGTGGAACCAGGCCAAAAGAGAGAAGTGTGTTGTAGTCAACAAAGCTGAAAGGAGTTGGGGATCTGAAGAGTGCTTTCACATCAGACATGGAGATATAGAGTTTGGAGTTTTCCCAGCTGGTTTTTGGTCTTGCTTACTCACAGCATTTCCTTACTATGCTCCCTTTCCTCCCTTTTGGAATGATAATGTATATCCATGCCATTATGTTGGAAGTATGTGATCTTTTTTATTTTTATTTCATGAGGGATTACAGTTAAGATATTACATGAATCTTAGAAGAGATTTTAAACTTTGGACGTTTAAACATTGTTGAGACTCTAATAGATTATAGGGACGTTTGATGGACTCAATATGTTATGGATACACACTTATGGGGCCAAAGAGTGAAATGTGGTGGTTTGAATGGGTATGGCCCCCATAGGCTCATGTGTTTGAATGCTTGGCCCATAGGAAGAGGCACTATTAGGAGGTGTGGCCTTGTTGGAGTGGGTGTGGCCTTGTTGGAGGAAGTGGAGGTGGGCTTTGAGGTCTCAAATGCTCAGTTGCTCTTTCTGCTGCCTACAGATTCAGATGTAGGACTCTCAGCTCCTTCTCACCATGTCTGTCTGTCACCATGTCCTGCCATGAAACCTCTGAAACTGTAAGTCAGCCCCAAATAGACCTTTTCCTTTATTAGAGTTGCTGTGGTCATGGTGTCTCTTTAAAGTAATAGAAACCCTGACTAAGACACTTGGGCTCCATTTTTCCACATCCTTAGCAGCTCTTCTTTATTTCTATTTTAATAGTACTATGCTGGTTAGTTCTTGTCAACTTGACACAAGCTAGATTCATGTGGGAAGAGAGAACCTCAGTGGAGGAACTGCCTCCATCAAACTGGCCTGTAGAAAGACCTGTGGGGCATTTTCTTGATCAACGATTGATGGGGGAGGGCCCATCCCATTGTGGGTGGTACCATCAGGGGCTGGTGGTCCTGCACTGTATAAGAAAACAGGCCGAACAAGCCATGGGGAACAAGTGTAGAGAGAAGCATTCATCCATGGCCTCTGCTTCAGTTCCTGCCTTGAGTTCCTGTATGACTTCCCTTCATAATGGACTAAGGAATGAGCTGAAATAAACCTTTCCACCCTAGGTTGCTTTTGCTCCTGGTATTTATCATAGTAATGGACAGCAAACTAGAGAAGTAGCCATCTAACTGGATAGGAGGTATGGAATGACAGTTATACAAGAGATGACTTTCTGGCTATAAAGATTTGTATTGTGATTGTTTTTGTTAAATCAGAATTTAAAAATCATAACTTACTCTGCAGGTATGATAGTGGATAATTTGAAAAATGCGTGGCATCTACATTGAACCTTTGATAGGCAACTTGGCTTTTTGCTTATTCCCTTACAGATAAAAACCTGCTCCCCTAGGTAAATGAGGACCAGCCAGGCCTACTTAGCAGACTGCAGGCCCAGGACTTGCTGCAGAGGAAGGAAGGCCTGTGAGTGACGTGGAGACGTGCCACAGCGAGGTCCCCAAACAAGTGCATCTTCAAGCTGTCAAAGAGCACTTCCTGGCCTGCATGGTTGCTGGACCAAAGGTCTCGAACATGCATGGGCTCCAGCTCTTCCCTGTTAACATCTCTGAGATTCCTCCAGGAAGGGAAGCGGCAGACTGGCTGGGTTCCAGTCGCGCCGAACGTTCGTAGGACAGAAAGCATGGAAACTATCTGGCACCGGGTCACGCCTCAGCAGGACTTGGTGCTGTCACCAGTTTTTACAGTCATCGCGGTCCTTCTCCCAGCTCCCCGCCCCCTCCCACGTGCACCGGCTGCTCCCGGCTCACCTCTTACTTCTTGTCAGCACCTGGCACTCTACTATCTCGCCGAACACCTCGAAGCGCTTCTTGAGTTCCCGAGAGCTCATGTCACTGGACAGATTTCGGACGTACACCACACGGCCTTCACCCTGCTCAAGGAGGACCGAGAGGGGACCCCGTCATTATTCTCAGGGAGTCTCTGTCTAGGCCCGGCTGGGCAGCAACATTGCTAGAGTCACAGAGAGAGGACCGCGAGCGGCAACCTCTACACCAAAGGACCTGTCCTTGTTGTAGCGGGGACCACTGAGTGCAGGAGAAGCATGCCCCAGGGGGGAGGCACCTGCGTGCGGGGACTAAGCAGAGCCTGGGCAGAGAGGAGCTGCACCGTCAGACATGTTCTGCTCAGCCTGCAAGCTGCGGAGAATACACTGGGGACCTGGTGGCTTGTAGGGGTCAGAGTACACTGGAAGGAAAGATAATGAGATGGGCGTTAGAGCCCAAGGAGTCACCATTTTATCTTTGAATTTGCCAGGGAAAGCTGGATGAAGCCATGACACAGGCACCGTGCCCCACAAGTCACCTTCAGGAGAGGTCAGCTCTATGCTAGATGCTAGTGGGCATGCAGAGTAGACAGGCAGAGGAAATGATCAGGGAGGCCAGGCTGCAACCAGCCTCTCCTTTGAGATCCCTGATGTGATGGACTTGCGGCCGTTGCCTGGATACCCGTGCTCTAGTGGGTTGAGGCAGTGTGTGGGCCTGGACAGGCTTTCTCTATGCACAGGAACAGCCAGCAGCTCTCCACACAGCCCATCCACCAACCACAGATGGCAGGAAAGAAACTCCAGAGCGAGGCTCTACAATAGGACCGCATACGTGGTCATGGAGCCTGCTCTGACACACTGGAGTCTATCCAGGTCCAGAGAGAAAGCACCACCTCCCCAGACTCCTGGTAACTTCCTGAATTTCTGCGCCCCCCACCCCCAATTCTTGGACTCTGCATACTTTATCCCCAAGCTCCTTATGGATACCCCTCATAAGTCACCAATGTAAGTACGTTACCCCAATGGTCCAAATTCTAGTCAGAACTCTATCAGTCTCAGGGAATCTATACCAATTCTTAATCCCATCAATTTTTCTTTGCTTGTGAGTCTGTCATCTTTCTCTCCTTTCTGTCTCAACCATGGGAGAAGGGACTTAATCTGTCTTTATACTGCTGTCCCTTGAAGTCTAGGGTTATACCAGGTGTCAAACCACCGAACCCAAGAAGACTATGTTCACTTGTGGTTTTGTTCTTTTTTGTTTGAGATAGGGTATCACTATGTAGCCCTGGCTGGCCTGGAACCCGCTATGTAGACCTGACATTTATCTTTGGTAAACTCAAAGATAAAAACGGTGGTTCCGACGGCCATAATGCCCGTCTCATTCTCTCTTTCCAGTGTACTCTGACCCCTACAAACCAGACAGAGACCAACCTGCCTCTATGGACAGGGCCCCACCTCCCAAGTGCTGGGATTAAAAGTGTGTGTCACCACGCCTAACCAACAACTTTGTTGTTGCTGTTTTTTGTTTGTTCGTTTTGTTTTTGAGGCAGGGTTTCTCTGTGTAACAGATCTGGCTCTGTAGACCAGGCTGGCCTCGAACTCACAGAGATCCGCCTGCCTCTGCCTCCTGAGTGCTGGGATTAAAACCACTGCCTGGCTTTACCTGTAGTTTTAAGTACCCGTCGCACAGGCGGGGTACCTCTGGGATTTGTGTGTCCCCCACCCCCAACACACATCTCCCAAAGCATGGGTACCAGTGAGGCTGTGGGTCCTTTTGTGTTTCCGCTATACCCTCCCTCCCTCCTTTCAAGGGCAATGACGTAACTGGCTGGCCCATGCACCCTGCAGGCTCCCGGGGACAGCTTGGTGGGTAACCCCAGCATCTAGGGCCAAGCTCTGAGAAGATCCTCCAGGTGGGTGGAGGATGGAACAAGCTTACTGAGGGACCCCTGATGAAGCATAAGGCCCAACTCTCTTGTGTACAGATGTACAAACTGAGGCTCCAGGAAGCTGGCCGCTTGCCCAAGGTCACACAGAAGACGCAGATTATGACCTGGCCCACCCAGCCTATCTCTGCTTTGACCCCTGCCACCTTCTGTTTTGATCCTTTGAGAATCCCTCAGGCTGAGTCCTAAGTGGCTACCCGCCGCACACCAAGGCCCGTCACGGGCTGGCTCTGCACGGTGCCACCCTTAACGGCTTTTGGCTACCCTTGCTACTTTCAAATAAGATAAATAGTTGCGTCCTACACGCAGGCTACGGTCCATTATTGCCCCGGCAAAGGCTGAAGGCTGGCGGGCTTAGCATTTCCTGACGTCCTCGGCTTACCCCCATTTCCTCCAGGCCCAGGGACCCCGGATCACTTACGATGGCCTTTTCCCGCCGCTTCCTGGCATGGCGGGCGCGCGGGGTTCCATCTGAACAGGGCCCTCTGCTCTCGCGTCTGTCGGGGAACAAACAGGGCACAGCGCTCAGTCTCTCTCTTGCAGACACCCAGCCCTAACTGTGGGACTGAGCACTGGTCAGCTGTCCTCTGCCGGCTCCCAGGCTGAGAGCCCTGGGAATCCCCCTGTTCTAATTCTGGCCCTGACCTTCCAGGCTTTACCTTTCTCTGCTGTTAGAAAGTTCTTTCATTTCCTCGCCTTATTGACTGGATGGAAAAAAAAAAAATCCCAGACCGGTCTTATATATTCCCATTTTCCAAAAGAAAGTCCGAGTCTCAGGTTCCAGCTAGCACTTGCCCTGAACTAGAAATGGGAGAAGCCAGAGCTGGAATCAGGTCTAATTCCACTGCTAATAACCACTGCTCTCTGAAAGTTCCTACTCCGGCCTGAAACAGCCACGTCCACGGTAGAGCTCATCATCTCCTCCTGTTCTCAGGGCTTGCAGCCCCACCCAGGGCCTGCCCTTCCCCAAATAGAAGATAAGAACATGAGGCTTTGGGCCATGCAGCCTGAGCTTCAGCCCTGGTTCTACCTCCCTATGGAGGGTGACCTTGGGCCAGTCTACCAACCCTCTCAATTTACTTCTTCATTTGCAACATAGGTACATATCCAACTGTGCCCACCTCCTTGGCCATTGGTGAGCAGTAAATAAAATGCACTTAAAAGGTTAGATTAGTACTGCTCATTTTTTTTCCTATTTACCATCTCTGGCCTCAGTTTCCTCATCTATAAAATGGGGCTAAGAATCACATGTGTCCTCCAACTGCATCTGTGAAGCTGAACTAAATAGGATACCAGAAGGCGATGTGACTCGCTATCTTTCAAGTGCTATTCCAGTCAAGGATGACCATTCACTGAGATTCAAGTTAGCGGGCCTTCCCTTCTAGATTGAGACTGGAAGTCACGGGATCGAGCTGGCATTGTTCGACTGGCCTCAATGCATTTCTTGTTGATGGCCAAGGGAAAGAAAGTCTGTCTAGAGAAGGCTGTGGTTTTCCAAGCTTGTCAGATACATAGCTCTGTGGGCAGGTGAGCAGGGATAACCAAGTTACTCTGTCCAGTGAACAGAAATCACTTACACTGGGCCTACATCTGAGAAGAGAGAGTTAGGAGTCTCAAAGAAGGTCTGGTCTCAACTTTTGAGCCTCTGGAATGGGCTAGGTGGGAAAAGGAAGCGCTCAGGAACTCTCATGCTGGCCCTGGTGGATGGGCTCAACATTGGGGAAACGTGGGTGGCATTAGGAACAAACCTTCACTGAGAGGTGTGTCTCAGCAAACTCCTGGGAAAGGAGAGAAGAACTGGAAAGCAAGCCTTGAGAGTTCTGTGAAGCACAGTGCTGACTGTTTGTAAGCGGAAGCTCGGGGGAAGCCATTTGTAGTAACACATAACTTAGCACTTCTTCACACCCGTTTGTAGGACGTCCATGAACCCTCTAGAATTTATGTTTATGTAGAGTCTGGTGAGGAGAGGGACCTTTGCTTTCTTGGGGTCCTCAAAGAGCCAAGAGTAGCTGGTAGAGATGCGAGCATGTAAAGCTGACTCTAAGAAAAGGTATCTATCTATAAGATCTGAATTCTGACCTCAGAATTAGAAATGCCAATTATCCACACCCACAGACTCAGATGCTTAGCATACCTCTGACCCACCAGCAGCATCTCAATAAATCCCCCATGACTCCAGGGCTCTGCTCCAGGCTGAAGGGTACCATCTAGTGGCCACCCAGATAACCTCAAGCACAGGGCTGGGAACCTCCCAAATCTTTCTGGACTCTCCCAAGGACAAAGCTGGTCCAATTATCCTCTGCGATCAGAACAAGTAGAAACTGCTCTCCCCCAAATCTGGCTCCAGGTTCCTGCCTAGAATTCCTGCCCTGATTTCTCTAGGTGATGGAGTGTGGTCGACCATTAGAGTTGTAAAATGAAATAAATCCTTTCCTCTCCAAGTTACTTTTTGTTACAGCGGGGGTTTTTTGTTTTGTTTGTTTTGGTCTTTCAAGACAAGGTTTCTCTGTGTAGCATCTCTAGCTGTCCTGGAACTCCCTTTGTAGTCCAGGCTGGCCTTGAACTCACAGAGATCTGCCTGCCTCTGCCTCCTGAGTGCTGGGATTAAAGGCGTGCGCCACCACCACCCGGCTTGTCATGGTGTTTCATCACAGCAATAGAAACTCCTTTCCAGGTCCAGGGCTCAAAGATGGGATGCTCAAACTGGCTTCTGATGCACCAGCTCCCCAGTGGGCTCTTTAAGGGTCTGCTCACAGCAGCAAATAACGCAGGACCAAGCCTTGGAGTAAACTTCAGCTTGCTTTCATCAGGGTGTTTCCAGAACATAGATGGAAATTACACTGATCTTTCTTTAACATATTAACATCACGTTCCTTTTCAACTATGTGGGTCTGCATATTTTCATTAAAAAAAAAAATCTATCTCTTGACAAACACAAAGCAGAAAACAAGGGCCAAGCTCATTAGGATATAAAGTCGCAGGTGGCCAGAAGGTGGGTTTCTTTCTTTCCCACAGTCCCCTGCCAGCCTTGACTTGCTTCAGATAGCCCAACTCTTGAGGAGCCCCTCTCTCATGGGTTCTGACTAGGACTGGAGCCACGTGCAGAGATGCAGCCTCAGGTTTCAAAGCAAGTCCCCAGGGCTCCTCCCCTCGGGCAGCTAGTTGGGGCTCCGACACCCCTCTCCCCAGGGCCACCAAGCATACCTGAAGTTCTTCCGGGTGGCTGGTGACCAGGAGCCACAGGATGAGGAGCCAGAACTGGAGCGGCTGCGGGGACAGAGTGGCCGGCTGGCCTTACTGGGTGGGCTCTGGTAGGGGCAGTGGTCAGAGCAGGGAGGGCTGACCCCTGAGTCCTCTCCTTCCTCCTCCTCCTCCTCCTCCTCTCCCTCCTCCTCTTCCTCCTCCAGCAGGAAGCTGCTGTCGCCACTGCTGCTGCTGCTGTCTTCAAACACGGTGTCATACTCTGGGCTTTTACATGAAGCCAGATCTTCATCCTCCAGAGCCGTCTCGAGCAGCCCAAAGTGCTTGGTGAGGCTGGCACGGATCTCATGGTCTCTCAGCTGCATGCTGTCCTTGGGGGCAGAGTCACAGCTCTGGCCGGCCTCCCTCCTAGGGGCCTTCGTTTCAGTTGGCAGGGAGGCACCCTGCTGGGGCCAGGCCTCAAGATGGACCCCGGCGGGCTCCCAGGACCGCAGCACCTTCCTCTGCAGGGCCGCCTCTGGCCTGAGCACCTGGCAGTAGTCGTGGTCTCCAAAGGAGCAGGAGAAGGGGCGCTTCTGCCCAGCCTGGGAGACTGGCTGGGCTGGGGCGTGCTGCAGGTGGGACAGGAGCTGGCTTCGCTCTGGGTGCCTCTTGGGCAGCTTGTGGGAGGCCCCTGGGGTGGCTGGGAGCTGAAGGGCCTCAGGGGAGGGGAGGCTGGGAGCTGCGTCTTGGCCCGGGCTGTGCTTGGTGTCCGGCTTGAAGGGGTCCTCCTCCATGGGCTTATATGGAGGTGTGGTGGGGGGAGTGAGTCCTACCCAGGCAAGAGGAGAAATAAGTGAGGAAAGGGCAGGTCTCCTCAGAGGACACAAGAGTTCCATTTGACACTTTCCAGTTTCAAATAACCCTGGACTCTTGAATTGCAACCTGTTTTTATGTTCAAGCTATCTGTGTATTATTTCTCCTGCAGTTGTACATAAAATGTTTTTACATTCAAAAAAAGGACAAATACTATAGAATTGTACTACATGAAATACATAGAATATACGCCGGGCGGTGGTGGCGCA